AGCTTAAAATGGAAAAATATCATACCGGAAACCACCTCCAATTGCGATTTGCTAATTTCCGGTGACTAGAAACCTGCCCCCAAACGCGGGAAATTTTGAAAACTGTTTTGCACGCTACGCAAATCGCGCAGAAGAGTGGATTTCAGACTTTCTTCATGTGGCCTTTCCGATTTCCGTGGCATTTTACTCCTAAAAGCTCTAATTACGCGGTTATTTTTCTTGCGTGCGACAGACCTATTACGATTTACGATTCATTTTCGACGAAAGTTACGAAAATATTCCTCAATGTTTTAAGATAATTTGGGTGAATAAAACTCAAAAGAATTTGAGGAAAAAATGATTCGCATGTGGACCGCGCTGAGCAGAAAAGAACCAAGCCACATCAGTATTTGGCAATTTAATTTTTCAGATGAAAACGGCTGAGCAGATGTTCGTGGAAATTTCAGTAAATTTTCTCCATAGTACGAAGCAAATTCCCGAAATGTTCAGAGGAATCCGCACAAACGTTCCCTCGTAAAAAATTGAATTGCCCAATTTAATTTGGCAATAGCTGATGTGGCTTGGTTCCTTTCTGTTAAACGCGGTCCAGTTGGACTTCATTTCGCAATTAGGAACTAGAGCCCCTTTATACTGAGAGTCAAGACAACACCCCTCATGGAGTCACAAACGGGAATAAAGATTACACAAATTGAACGTTTTTCGTAATCTTTGATCGGCTCATTCTTAAATTCCTTTCTCCGTTCCTTCTCTCATTCCGTTTGTTCTTTGTCGAACCCGAAATTCCTCGGTCCATTCCAGATTATAATCTTTGCAATTGCTGAAAATGTAATCTTTATTCCCGTTTGTGACACTGTGAAGGCCTAAAATCCGGTTAACCAATCAGAAATGGATTCGCATTGTCTTGACTCTCAGTATAAAGGGACTCTATTGGGAACTAGTACATCACGCTCACTCCAGAAACATAGTTTGTATACCATTAGTTTCTCAGTGCACATCAGTGTTTTCATGGATAATCCAGAAATTGTAGTTCCTAGTTCCACACTGAAGTCTAGTTCACGGGAAGATGTATACTTTTACTTAAACCATACTGGATAATTCGTATTTTATCAAAGGAGAGGCAACGTCCAAAGGCTCATAAGGCGTCTTCCTGCAGCATGGCAAAGTAGCCAAGACTTCTTTACAAAGCGACTCGATGGATTTGTGTGCCAACACAGTCAATGGCGACTGCGGTTTTGCCTCAAAACAATGGGCGGGTTCACGTCAAAGACTCAATTTCGGCTGATGAGTGATCGGAACCGGAACCCTCTGCATTGACTGTCTTTCTTGGCGATTAAATCAATAAACAAAACTTGGAGAGGGTAGCACAAGTCCGGCTTGGCATTTTTCCCTCGACAGCGGCGCAAACTCACGAATCCCGCCATATCAAGACACGAATAATGCATGTTCACCAGACAAGAATGAGGCGGGAACATGCTGCACCGCCGAGGAAAAGCATAGTATACCCATGAAGAATAGATGGTCAGATAAGGCAGTTAACTCGATTACCTGCATGCCGTTTTATGAAGTGATTTCATGTTTACACTCGTTTTTACACTTGGATATTTCAATTATCAGGGCTGCCACAGAATTTAGAAAATCAAATTCCCTGGAATTTCCCTGATTTCTCTGTCACATTTAGGGAAAATTCCCTGACAATAGGTCACTTATCATTGTTTATTTTATTTAATAATTTGAACGTACTATGTGAGTAGATAATGTGGTGATTTTTCCGCATTTCCATGGAGTCGAAATCGCGGAGAAAACAGCTTTTGAAAAATCCAAAAACTGCAAGACCTTTAAAACGCACCCGAATGGCGGGAAACTGACAGTGGTGATGTATTGCGGTGGTCAAATCGCAATCTTCTCTCATTTTCCACTGATGCTTGTTAAAATAAAAAGTATCTCAATATGGAATTGTTACGTGTTTACTACAGTTAACATAAATGAGATTTGGTTCTTTAATTCAGAAGATATAATTTCGACTTAAATATTGTTCTCATATACGAGGAGTAAATAGACATATTAGACGGAAGTCGTAGAAACCCGTGCTCGCATCTGATTAGTGCCGGACGACATCATTCGGTTCGGCGCGAAATCGGGGCGTTTTGAATTTGCGGATTAGTTAAACGATTTGAACTGCGTATTTCTCGGTTATTGAAAAAAAAAATGAGATTTATGCAAAAATTAGTCGAAAAAGTGCTTCACAAACGACGGGTTGTGACATAAATCGTTCTGGATGATATGAATTTAGGGGTTGGCAGCTCTTTTGGGCCCCAACTTTCTTCGCGGAGGCATCGGTGAAGGCCTGATGGATTTCTGGAGCTTCACACCTGTCCGTACTCTCGCTGTGCGGCCGTGATAACGAGGAGAACCGTGTGTGCAAAGTTTTGAGAAAATGGGCTCACTGGCGTCTGAGCGGAAAATTGTATTGAGAGAAGCCTCCGCTCTTTGTCAAAATGCCACCAATCATCCGAAAAACTCTTAGAAATCCTTAGACTGATTAAAAATCGACCAACTTTATTTCAATCATATTAAAAGGGTATTATTCATTTTCATACATATCAGACTAGAAATATAGGCAAGAAAGCGAAGTGCTATTTTCTGCATGATTTTGTGGTTGCAATTTGGACACACGACAAATACACTTCCAGGTTAGAAATTGACAGCACAGGGCGCCATTTTCCATAAAATAACTGCTTTCATTGGCTCTCTGGCGGATTTTGATACTTCTTACAGCTGTTTTGTCTAAAACTACATCATTTTTGGCGCACCTACGGCTTTCTGATATGCCTCGTTTTTTATAAAAATGAGACGGATTTCGCTGATTTCATCTAAAAAACATTAGCTTGATTTTGAGAGAAACTCAATTTCGAAAATTTGAGAGTTACGTCTTTCTTTGCAATAACATCAGGTCGGCAATCTATGCAGGTACATACTAAGCGATGTGTTCGGGACACATCATAAGTCAGATCTTAAAATTCTCAAGGAATTTCGCGGTGAGCTGCGGGCCGATTATTGAAAGTTCAAGGCAGCCCGATCAGGGTGTCTACTAGAACAGGCTGGCCAAAAAACAGTACTTTTACAGCACTTTTCCAGTACATTTCCAAGAAATTCAGTGCCTCCGCAACAGAAAAATTCAGTACTCTTTCAGTACCTTCATTTAACAAAATTCGGAAAATTTCAAAATTTTGAATTTCTCACTCAAATTTGCGACAAAAAGGAAAGAAATCCGGACTTTCTTGCGGAAAATCCGCACTTTATCAATACTTCCGGACCGCCCTTAAAACATCAGTACTTTTTCCGGACTTTCCGGACTTGTAGACACCCTGCCGTTAAGACATCGAATTGCGATATATTGCATGGTTAAGATAGGGCTATGTCTTGTCGCATCGGGCTGACATAGTTTCAATAATCGGGCCGCTGGCTGAGAAATTAAAGAAATAACGCCACTTGGAGAGCTCTACTTGGGTCGTGTGACAGAGGCTCAGGCTCGGGATCGGACCGAGTTCTCCTGTACTGTACCTGCTCATAATGAGTTCTGAAGGTCGCGGGCCTGATCCACGATGCTACGTGGGCTCCGTCGTCAATCGCAGAGTAAATACAAACACTTGTTGCTCACTCCCAGACCCAGATACAAACTCCTCGTCTACATTTTACCGCGAGGGGATAGATCCAGAGATCCTCAATCCTCCGCTGGAAGCCAGCGAATGATAAATCCAGGCCCCTCCTCTTGTCAAACTGATAATATAATTGATAAATCAATGAATCAGTGGGATTCTCCTTTTTACGACCAGCAAAAGACACGATAAAAAGTCCGATATTTGAATCGTGTCGTGCGAAACCCGCCAGTTCTATTTTTTCAGCCTTGAGTTTCTTGGATCTTGGAGTCCATGACACCTTTCAGAGTTGCATACAACCGTGAAAGTGGTGTTATTTTATTAAGACATAAGATTCTCTTGGTAAAAGTTTGATTTTAGAGGCGAAAATTGGCAACACTGGAATGTGGTTACGTTCTTCCTTGAGGGATACGACGAATGGTCACTTGAAAAATGAAGAGAGTATGCTTTGCGTATGATAGCTTTACCTACTTGCGACAGATTCGAATTCTCGACGCGACTGTTAGGTTAAACAATTTAATCATACGCACATACATACTCTCAATACATCAATACTCCCACATACAATCATCAGTGTTCGAAACTCACCTTGGAGTTTCAGAAGCCGTGTGGCCCATCAAGCTCGATTTTTGGGAGCCATTGAAGATTTTTTGGGGACCAAATTGAACATTTGCCTATGTATCACGGCGCATGCAGTAAAAAGCTAGACACAGTATGTTTCAGTTTCAGAACTAGTAGCTGCGACTTCGTGAAGTCGAAAAGCTTTGTAAGTAGATCCTGAACAGAAAAATGAGGATTTTNGGGGGGGGGGGGGGGGGGGGAGGCGGAAATTCTAAGAGGCCACGTTGATGCAGAGCCTTCATTTTTCATGCATAATGACGAGATTCCTTGGGCGCATTTTGCGTCTGTGAGTTTTGAACACTGCCCAGAATGGATACATCTGAGAGTCATCTAAGAGTACATTGATGGATTCAGATGATTCTGTGAAAAGACAGCAAACGGATTCGTTTCATAATTGATGCATGATTGATCAACGACCAGAACTAAAATTTTCCGCAAGCACGAAAGAAGCGGCAACCGGCTATTAATTGTCCGTAAACAAATCGCGGTGCGCAAAAAGCTGAAGACCGAACAACAACACCTAGGAGCCAATTTAGTCAAAATAAATGTACAGCTTGCCTCTCTCCGACTCCACTCCACCGGGAGCCGACAAATTCAACATCAAAGGGGGAGGGGGCGCCTGCGTATGGAGGGGGATCACCGCTCCGGGGGGAGGGGGGGTTCAGGGGAAGGGATGAAACGGTGGTCCTTGAGAGATAAGAGCGCGTAAAACAACGAACTCACCGTAAGTCAGCACGTGTGTCACAGTGTGGGTGGCGACGATAACAGGTTGGGCCTGCGGGGAGGCCGAGGAAGTGCTGGCCATTGGTCAGGTCGGTCAGAGCACAGGACACATTTTTCACGAGGAAACACCGCCCGGAGTCAACCGCTAGAGTTTTCAGCTTAGCGAAGAACTAATCGAATGATCGAGTGCCATCCGAATCGATTATTAAAATTTCGATTGACTGTTTACACGATAATTTACTACAGATCAATCGTCGGTTAGAACACACCAGTTCCTGGATCTAATTTTGGATTAATAGCACGAGACTTCTAAATATTTCAGCTTGAGGCCCAAAAGTGCTGATATTTGGGAGAAGAACAAGATTTCATGAGAAAATATGGAAATAATAATGCCGGATTTTGCTGAATTATCACCGAAAATATACAGCGCACATGATAGTGGATTCTCAAATTTGGCACAAGTGCTGATTTCCATCTGGGAACCCCGGTTTCAGGTTATTTTGAAAAATTTCTGTTCGAAAATATGCACACTAATCGATTACTGATTTTTTTTCGATAATCCAAAACATCGACTGATCGATTAACCAACGAGGCGAAAAACGAATAATCAAACTTTAAAATTAACAAAATTCGGCACGAATGCCGATTTCCATCTGTGAACTCCGGGTACAGGTCGTTATTTTGAAAATTCACCGTTTCAAAATACACACGCTAATCGATTGTAAACTCGCTTAGTGATTTTTCGATAATCCAAAAATTCGACCGATCGATAGCCGACCAATCGAAAAACTCGGGGATATTCACAGGGAGGCGCGGCGCGGCACAGCACGTACGGCACGGGCGAATCACAAGCACTCCGAGTTATTAAAAGCTAACCTTCAAACGGCTACGCGGCGGCGGCGGAGATGATCGCGTGAACACGCCTCGCATATGTTTCTCGAACGCGGGGTTTCAGCGCTGTTTCCGCGGCTTCAGGTTCGGGAATCCCGGGTTCAGGATGGCGAAAACTCCGACTTTCACCCCGGTGCCCGTCAGGCAAGTGTCAGCGTGGAACGAGCCGAGTTTTGAACGCAGAGTTCGAGGGAAAAAGTTTAATCATTTCAACGCTCGGAGCTTATCTGCGGGAGCCACTGCTGCTCGGCGGCCTGCCCGAGAATCGATTGACATGCTCCTGAGCTCTGTCGGCGGCCGCCCGAACTTCCGAGGCGGCTCCAACAAGTGGCAGCATCGTTCCTCTCCGCCGCCGCCGGCCGCCTTTTCAGCCTACATGCTCGGATTTCAGCCGGCGCTAATTTGTTGCTCGCCTCGTGGCCTACTCGCGTGTTGGAAGGGTAATTAAGTTGGACTTGGGACGCCTCGACGAATCGTTCGGACGGGGGGCATTTAAACGCGTGCACGTTTCACCGCGAGAGGGCAGCACAGCAGTCCACGCTTCATGGTTTCAAAATTAAATGGAGGGGTAAATCCTTGTTTCCTTGCCGATTGCTTTCTCCATATCAGCTGAGAGCAGGGTGGCATGAAACGTAAGAAAGAAATGAAAGATTGGACATTTCAGTGAAATATTTCAAAATTTCACGAGGCTCTGGAATATTTCATATTTTTCAGGGGCTAGAGTATGCAACCCGCACTTTAAACACACAAAATAGAGGTAACAATTTTTTACATTCTACGAAACATGAAAAGGAACCAGTATTTTTCAATATCTTTCATTTTCTGAAATATTTCACGTGAAATTTCAAGATTTTAATTTTTATGAACTTTTGTCACCTGGCTGAGAGGCTCCGTAGTGAGAAAACTGTAACGTACTAAGATCGCCCTGGAAATTTCACGTAATTCGTCGTATGTCTTACACGAAAGAAGAAAGAGAAGGAGAAAGGTTTTTGCATTTTCACCGGAAGAATTTTCAGAAATTATATAATTGTAAATTTCTCATATTTTTCCTCTGATTTCATTCAAAAACCAAACAAATTGACGAAAATTATGCAGGCTCATATTCGTAAAAAATGGAATTGTGTGAGTGAATTTGACAACCTTGGAATGGAGTCAAGTTTCTTGGAACGAGAAAAGACGTATTTTTCACGTGCAATTTAAATGCAATTTCAATAAGTTTTTGAAATATGAAAAAGAGCCTAAAATTTCAAATTGGTGAAATTTCACGTTCTTATTATCCATGAAATTTTCTATCTCAGGTTGGGGAAGGAATCAAGAGCGAGTGCCTCTCACTTCTTGTGAGCGACGAAAATAAAGAACAGAGGCCGGAAATTGGAGTTCGTATATAATGCAGAATTGGCCGGTGTTAGAGAGTTTTCATGAATTTCTGAATTAGTTGGAGCCTACTCGCTACTCGCTGAACGATGAGCGAGAGAATAACTAATTTCTAAATAGAACAGTTATCGAGGGATTTATGATCAAATGATCAAATCTGGTCAAATATATGCGCTAAAGCGAGAAAGCTGCACGATGGAACAGAATTGCTGTACATATTCTCACATTTAGATCTGTTGTTCTACAATATCCCACACCAGAAAAAATTTGTTAAAAATTCAGCGAGCTTTACTTATTCGACACTCTCAGATGAAGCAATAAAACTGTTTCAGGCGAATTCCCCATTCTTTTCAGCAATTCTTGTCAGTTACTCCGTTCTAAATCCATTAACTAAATGAGGTACACAAATAATGTGATATTATCCACCAAAATGAGACATTCCGCGGTTAATTTTCTAGAACTATTTGGAAAACAGATAGATTTCGTTTCGTATTAACAGAAATGCGATCTCAATATCGAATCAGAAGCACATTGGCTAAAAACAGAAAGGACCTGTGAATCTCCTTCAATTTCGCGTGTTACCACATACCTACTATGGGGTTCGAATGGTTGCTCAGGGTGTTTCCGCTCGTTTCAAAGGTGAAAAATCACGCCCAATTCATCTAAATACCGCGGAAAAAATGCGATTTTTCCAGCGCAGGCGTCAGTCCAAAACGATTACTCACTTTGCATCTCGATATCGCTGAAAACGCGCCTTTATCATTGACGCGCGCAGTCAATTGATGATGTCTGTGAATCGTGAAAGGTAAAGAGCTAAAAATCTCCTTCAACTTCGCGTGATACCACATACATACTCCGGAGTTCAAACAGTTGCTCAGGGCGTTTCCGCTAGTTTCAAACGCTAAAAATCACGCCCAAATCATCTAAATACCGCGGAAAATATGCGATTATTCCAGCGCAGGCGTCAGTCCTATAAAATTACTCACTTTTCATCTCGCCATCGCTGCAAACGCGCCTTTAACATCGACGCGCGCATTCAATTCATGATGTCCGTAGTTCGTGATAGGTAAATAGCTAAAAATCTCCTTCAACTTCGCGTGCTACAACATACCTACTCCGGAGTTCGAATAGTTGCTCAGGGTGTTTCCGCTCGTTTCAAAGGTGAAATATCACGCCCAAACCCAATTCATCTAAATACCACGGAAAATATGCGATTTTTCCAGCGGAGGCGTCAGTCGTATACGATTGCTTACTTTTCATCTCGGCTTCGCTGAAAACGCGCCTTTAACATTGACGCGCGCATTCAATTCATGATGTCTGTAGTTCGTGACAGGTAAAGAGCTAAAATCTCCTTCAACTTCGCGTGATACCACATACCTACTCCAGAGTTCGAATAGTTGCTCAGGGTGTTTCCGCTCGTTTCAAAGGTGAAAAACCACGCCCAATTAATCTAAATTCCGCGGAAAATATGCGATTTTTCTAGCGAAGGCGTCAGTCCTATACGATTAATGATTACTCTCTTTTCATTTCGACATCGCTGGAAAGGTGCCTTTAACATCGACGCGCGCATTCAATTCATGATGTCCGTGGTTCATGATAGGTAAAAAGCTAAAAATCTCCTTCAACTTCGCGTGATACCACATACCTACTCCGGAGTTCGAATAGTTGCTCAGGGTGTTTCCGCTCGTTTCAAAGGTGAAATATCCTGCCCAAACCCAATTCATCTAAATTCCGCGGAAAATATGCGATTTTTCTAGCGAAGGCGTCAGTCCTATACGATTAGTGATTACTCTCTTTTCATCTCGGCATCGCTGAAAACGCGCCTTTAACATCGACGCGCGCATTCAATTCATGATGTCTATAGTTCGTGACAGGTAAAGAGCTAAAATCTCCTTCAACTTCGCGTGATACCACATACCTACCCCGGAGTTCGAATAATTGCTCAGGGTGTTTCCGTTTGTTCAAGGGTGTATAGTTACGGCCAGTTCAACATCAATTTCGTGGAAAATGTGCGATTTTTCAAGCGGAGGCGTTAATCTAGAACGGATTCTACGGTTCCAACAGTTTTTTTTTTATAAAATCAATAAAAATTTCGCGTAATTAACCTTAATATCGCGGTACATTTGGATATGGCTTAATGTTTCTGAAAACGGACTATAAATTTTGAACAAATAGACTTTAAATTTTTCCCATTTGTACCTTTGCTTATTCTAGCAAGCGGCTCAATGTTTCATCGGAAATTCTTGGCTGTAAGAGGTCCTATAGAATGCTAGGGATTGTTATTAAGCAACAAATACGTTTGTTCGTTCGTAAGTCGTAGTGTCAAGAAAAAGAAGTTACTGTATCTTTCGAAAATTGAACGATCAGTGACTTAAGTGCATGCTCAGTTGTAGTGATGATGGAACAATATTTTAACCTGGAACTATTTGGAGGTTTAGAATTGCGTAATGAAATTAGATAGCATTTTGCAAAAAGGAACCAAGATCATTCCAATTTTGCTAGGATTGTTCAGCTTACATTCATTGGTACGAAATTGCTGAAATTAAGCGAATAATTAAATTTACGATGGTAATTTTTGTCTAGAATTATATTTAATTGAAGGTAAAGAGAAAACTTATTTAGATTATTAGTGCATATTTTCAAGGTAAAACAAGGTGCACAATCTTAATGGCATTGACATGTTCTTGGTTCCTTTTTGCAAAATGCAATCCCATTAATCCATTTAAAATTTAATACGAGAAATTGTACGGTTGAGCGATCAGACAGTGTGTCAATTCAGGAAATTAAAATGACGTACCTTATAAGAAGATTGTGGCAATGAATTCTGGAACAGAAAAAAGAAGCGATAATTATTAATAAGCTTTACTTAAGATCGGAGTACAATACAACTGTGATAAGTTAAGTCGACAGTCGATCGATTCAAGTTTTTATTTTTCGTTCGATTCAGATCGATCGAAGACACACTCTCTCGTAGCATGCGGACTGTCTATCATTCTCTTTTTTTAACTGGACAATTCCCCTTCTACTGCGTCTGTCGCAATTATTTTTACGAATATATTGTGCGAGCTCATTACATACTCGGCTCTCTGAAGGCGTTTTATGTGCACAAGTAGCGCAATCCGTTGAAGAACGAACAAAGTAGGGAGTAAGCGATTCATCCAAATTCACTTCTGTTGTTCTCCAACATATTGCGATACTTGCGCACATAAAACGCCTTCAGAGTGTCAAGTATGTAATGAGCTGATATCAGTCAGCACGCACGACAGCACGACAAACGTATAACGATAAACTAAGTTTGAATGCATAATGAAATATACCGCGCTGTAAATTTTCAGTCTACATATTCGCCCAGTGGAAAAAAGTAAATGCGGTGGGACTGTGGAAGGGACATTTCCGGACGCCATCATGGGTGATGCGCATTTAAATAAGAGCTTAAAATACGTAACTTTGAATTATTTTAAAGTGGGTCAAAATCGGTCAAGAAAATTCTTATTAACTAAAGGCCCTCTCTTTAAAAAAACCAGCAAAAAAAACAAAAAAAAACTGAATATTACTGATAAACTGAATTAAGCTGCGGCGTGCATCGCGATGTTTCCATTGATCTCTGTCATTACCTGTGGAAAAGGATCGATAGCAAAGGTGTTCGCGGGGAACACCTTAATAATCTATATTTAACCACAGCTTCGAATGGGGTAATATCGGTAATGATCATTCACGCCTCGCCAACTGTTTCAGAAAGGGGAAAAAGGGGGGTCACCATATGCCACCATGCCTGTCTTTTGACAGTGAATTTCTGATGATTAAAGGGAGGGGGGAGGATCCAATGTGAGTTTATGTTTCAT